GACTGTAATTTTAGAATTCTGCATTGGGTTGCAATGTAGTTCTTTGAAACATTAAAATACAAAATTACTTATCCGTTAGTTTTTCATCCATCTTTTCACACCTAAAAATCTTCATTTAAAGTACAATTGATCTCAAAACATTCGAACTTAAAAATATTGTTCAGGTTTTGAAGCAACTTGTAGACTTGAATCTATATAAACAGACTAGTTGGTAGATGGATTTCCAATAAGCAGAGCATGAAAATGACAAAGCGTGAAGAAGAAACGAAACTGATCCAGTGGTAGTGGTAGATTCCCAACAAATGCATCGTTGAAACTTCAATCTTCTTTGATTCAATAAGAACAGGGTTTGCTCTGGCGATCTCACTCTTTCAGTCAACTCTACCGATCGATTTCCAACAAAAGAGTATGAAAAAAGAAGAAGACCAGAGTTATCTTCTCTGGTGATTTATGAATAAGAATAACAAAGGTTCGTTCCCTTTTACCTATTTACATGAATCACATAGTCTCTCTCTCTCTCTCTCTCTCTCTCTCCCTCTTAATTCCATTGTTACTGATGTAGCATGATCTAGTAGCTCCTTGCTGGAGGATAGTTTAGACGTCGGGCTAGTGAGGTCTCTTGGTTGAGCTACAAAACAAGTCTGTCAGAGTGTCCGGGGTGCTCTACCTGGTGTAGGCACTCTGATGCTTAAATTAGCGATGTGGAGATTTGAGAGAAAAATCTAGTTTGCAAGAGAATTTGAGAACTTAGTCACACGTACCTTGTAAGATTGGAGGCAAGGCCTTTATATAGGTGAGCTGCCATAGGCCTCATAATGTGTGTCCGAGATCCTCGACCTGTATGGTCTGGAGTTGGTTTCACACCCGAAGATGGACTCTGCGTAAGCTGATAAGGCTTATCCAGGTTTGTCCGAATCGGGTGGGGAGGAGATAAACTCCATTGACGTGGTGCCATGACCTCGAGGAAATTGGAGACAATTGACTTGCTTCTAGATGGAGGTTACGTGGCACCTCGGCAGGTCGGTACCTATAATTGAGCTACTCAAGCCTTGGTCTAGTTGGGAGACCCGAGGTGCGCGAGGTGACTGAGATCACTAAGATGCCCAAGGTCACTGAGGTGTCACCACATCATTTCGTTACTACACGTGTCGTCACATCATTGGACGGGCCAAATTATCCCTCATCAGCTACCTCTCTAGAAACATTTATTTTCCTTTTTGCAGGGGAAATTGTTTGTGGCGCACGCCTCATGAGCTATGAGGCACAAGGCGAAAGACTTACGCCTCCACATGTCTAAGGCTTAAGCCTCGTAGGTGAAGACTGAGGCTATTGAGGCAGGGCTTTTTTTTTTGCCACCTCGCCTTAAGGCGTATGCCTCATGCCTCGCCTCTTTATCTTTTTAAAACTATGGTTCAATTAACATGTATGTTGTGCATACATTAAGTGCATATATGAGATCACACTCGTAATGACTGCATGAGGTGAACAAGCCCAAGTGTAGGACCCAACACTTGATGCTCTGAAACTTCATAAATGCTCACTAATTCTTCCTAATTCCATTCATTTGATTAAAAGATCTTTCTTTCTTTCCTCTCTTCTGTTTTATCTTTCTCGTTTTCTTTTTAAATTGATTTACTTATTGTCCCTTCCCATCCTTCCTTTTTTAATCATTCCATTGTATTCTTCACTCTCCACATATACTCTAAATTTTCTCATCCAAACTCCCTAGTTACATGTTCAAGCTTTTTAAAGGATTAAGAATTTCTATTTCTTCCTTTCTCCTCATCCAAACCCCTCTTCACCTTCATTTTCCTCTAACTATAGCTCTTCTTCTAAACCATCTTCATCCTCATTTGCCTCATGGTCCACCTTTTCATTGATTGGTCATGTTCTGTTACCAATTTTGTTACTCATTTTTATAAGGGAGCATCTTGGGTCTGGGGACACTGGATTCTTATCCAAATCTGAGTCTCATATGAGTTGCCATCCATGTTTCCAGTTTTCCACTTTCGAGGAATCACGACCAACCATTAAATGGATCCCTATTAAAGCTAAGGGTGTTATATATTAGATTACTTTAGTTGCTGGCTAAGGATCCATGGTGGTATTAAATGTAAGATTTTATGGACCTATATAACCTTTATTGTGTGTTGGGAGATATGGAAAGAAAGAAACTGAAGACTCTTTGAGGGGAAAAAGAAAAGTATGGAAGAGATGGTGGTTGTTATCAGATCGACAGTTATTGGTTGGGTGTTGCTGCTTCCAGAGTTTCAAGGGTTGAGGAAGGTAGACTTTGGTGTTGATTTCTGGAATTCTTTGAATGCATAAAAGAATTCCAGAGTTTCAAGTATTCCCTCTACCTACTTGTTGGGCATTGGACAGGTCAAACTGAAAAGCTTTCTAGAGGTAGTGCTCATTTGGGAGGGCTTTCACGCAATGGATTTTGGCATTAGATCACTGAGGAACCCATAACACATGAAGTTGTATTCGGTAAAAACCTTCAAGGTTGGAAATGGGCTTACAACAGCTGCAAAATCGACATTCTGTTTAAGCTATCTAGCTTCTCTAGAGTTGATGCCCTCTTAAATGGGTTTGTAATATAACTAGCTTATGTAAAAGATAATAGGTAAATCAACATCCAGTTGTAGAAATTGGCGGAATCTGTATTGTATCTTTTGTTTTTAACTTTCATTAACTCATTCTGTGCATGTATTGAAAATGGTGTGCTACTAGCCACATGAACATTGTTTGTTGGGATAGAACCACAATTCTTCATTCTCATTCTCCATTTAGCTCAGGCTTCCAGCCCTTACACGGGCTATGCGCATTGTGAGTGAGGTGTTTAAATGATGCTCTAGGGGTAATTTCGTAGATGTATATATTTTCCGTCTTGGTCAGTAATAAAAGGGAGGTTTCTGTTGAGTTTGTAAAAAATTTAGGGGAGGTATTTTGGTATTTATTACAATGAAACTATAAGAGAGATTTTTATGATTGTAAGAAACATTGGGCGAGCTTTTTGTATTTTACCCAAAAGAAAAGTTAAAAACCAAAATAAAAAATTTTCTTCCCGGCCCTTTTGCACTTATCTATATTTTTAAACATCTCAATCGTTATATTTAAATATTAATATAATTTTTACATGTTTTCTTCAATTTTATATATTTTATTGTCTTATTTAATAAAATTTCTGTATAAGTTCACCATATTTTGATTAATTAATTAATTACTTGGTTGTCGAATAAATGAATCATGTTTGGGTTAATCCAAACTCATACTAAACCCGATCCATTTAACATCCCCACTCAAAATTTAAGCTCCCAATCAAAACATAAAATATGTTTGGAAGCATTTTTTTTTGTGACTGTTATAACATTGAATTAATTTCATTAAAATAAATTTTTGTTCTTTATTCTGCTTGTTGATGTATTAAATATGTTTGTGACTATAATCTCCAATGATTGTTTGCTAAATATTCAGTGACATTATGAACGATTGACGATAGAAATTGCAATATGTGATTCACCTTAATTGCTAAATTACTAATTAGCAAATGATGGTAAGGTACTAAGCTTTGTTCCCAAAAAAATTCATTGATGTAGCAATAATTATAGAGAAAATGAGCAACAATTAGGAAATCTTTGTTGCCAATTCATTTGATTTAACAACAACTCTAATCAAATGTTGTTAAAATTTATATTTTGGTCACGTCCATGTGCAACTTTTACTAAGTGTTTGTTGGCAAAGGTCAATTTTCTTGTAGTGTTACAATTGGCAATTTTGTGTGGTTCTTTCATGTAGGGGGTGTTCATATTAAATGTCAAATCGATCAAACCAACTTGACCCAATCTGAGTTGGTCGGGTTTTCAAAATCACTGGTTGGTTTCAATTTATATGAAAAAATAAACCAATAGCTTGGTTCGGTATATGAAAACGAAACTAAACCGAACTGAACCGATCCTATATTTTTAAGTAATTTTCAATTAGTTCCTACCCTATATGTTAAATGTTGATATATTTTATTTGTGTTTTGTTTGAGCTTTAAAAAAAATTGGTTATTTATGATAAAAACTAAAAATGTAAAACGTAAACCGTAAAACCAATACAAATATAATACAATGGTACAATGTTTAATTCAGTTTTGTATAAATTTAAGGGGTTTTTATAGTTCAATCCATCCCTAGGGTGGAGTAAAGATTTCTAGGGGTAGATTGAATCTTGCCCGTGGATTGATGCCAAATTCATTGGCAAGATGTAGTTTATAGGGGGGGGGGGGCTACTAGTAGACTATGAGGGGGCTACAATTTCAGATTTCTGAGATGGATTGTAGTCCACTTATCCCTAAATTTAAATATACATTGACAAAAAAAATCAGTTTTGCATAAAAAATTAATCGATTTAAATATACCTTTTGGTTTTGCATAAAAACCGACTAAACCGATAAATCAACCCAAATCGACCTTTCTTGTTTGGGTTGGTTTTGCTTTAGGGTCATTCAGTTGCGGTTTAGTCAATGAGTAAACCAACTAGGTCAGGTCAGTTGAAAAAATGACTCAAATCAACCCAACCCGACCCATGAACACCCCTACTTTTATGTTACTAAGGGCAAATTTCTTTTCTTTGTTTACATATTGTCTTATAGAGTATCCTAATTATCTTGACAATTGTCAAAAACTTCCTTGCCATTAACGTTCATTTAATGGAAAGATAAAAAAATTATTTTACCCATTACTCTCCTTCAAAAAATTATTCCTTTTCATTAACGTTTATTTTTTGAGAAAATTTCCGATAGATACCCTATAGTTTAGACTGAGTACCAATTTAATACCCGAACTTTAAAAAATAACAATCTAATACCCGAACTTTCATTTTGTGAATTTAATACCCGGCGTAACTCACCGTCAATCAGTCCAGGGGCCTAATTGGCCTTTAATTAATTCGAGGGTAAAATTGCCTTTTTCGAATAGTTTGTCAGAGCCGTTAATCCATACCGAAAACCCTCGATCTTCTATTCTTCTTCCTATTTTCTTTCGAACCTAAGTCCAGTCACCAGCCCACCACCGAAGCCTCCATCTCCGCCGACTGCAAGTACCGTCTACGCCAGGTAGTCTCTCCCCTCCTCCTCTTTCTTCTTCCTCCCGCCGGTGGACTCTGTTCACAGCGTCCCTCCAACGCCGCCGACCAGTGTTCTCTGCTTTTTTTTTTTCTTCTTCTTCATCACTTTGGCGGCTGTGGCGGTGCTCTGTTCACCGCGCGATAGGCTCTCGCCCTCTCCTGGTCTTCTTCCCTCTTTCCTTCTCCTCCTCCTCCCACCACCTGAACCCTGAAAAATGTGAATCGACTAAATCACTAAATTCTTTCTACATTATGCAACATTTACATTAATTCTTTGCGGTTTATTTTATTAAAATTTTTAACATTTAATTTTTTTAATTAATGAACTTGAAATTAATTAATAATTCATAGTTTTGTAACTTCTGTTTACAGGTTTGCTCAAATTGAAATTCCAATTTGATATTTGCTTCAGGCTTGGAATTTGATCTTTGCTTAAAGCTTTCAGTCCACCAAATTCGGCCAAGATACAATACAGTCCACATAGTTGTTCAGTCTTGCAGGTTAGCTTAAGTCCTCTTGAAAGCTTGAAATAGAAATTTAAATTTTAAACTTGAATAAATTGATTTCATATCTTGAATTTAGGTGATATTGATACTCAAATAGCTGAAAATTGGAATTGAATTTAGAACAGTGATAGTGATAGTGATAGTGTGATACTAAAATAGCTGAAAATTGAAATCAATTTTAGTAAAATCAATTGAAAATTGCATTATAATATTTGAATTGATATTCTTGAAATGCCTTTGTGATGGTAATTTCAGTTAGATTTTGAAATAAAATAAAATTTGTCAACTTTTTTAAATTAAAAATTTAAAATTGTAGGAAAATGGAACATATTGTATTAAACATTGAAAGTTTGAAGTGTTATTTCTATTTTGGATTAGTTTTCTTTTTTTGATGAATAATTTTGGATTCGTTTTCCCTCATATTTGGTATTTTTTTTGAATTTTATTTATTATTATATATATTTCTATTTATTACATCAGCACAGTTTGACCTCCAATTCAACCCCGGTTGGACCTCTGACCCGTGAACCTCTGCCTTTACCAGGTCGATGGCCGGTCTGGTTCTCTGAACATTGGAACTGACTCTAACCCAATCTGAGCCAACAAATTTATTATATTCGGGTCCATCGGGTTAGACCCGATGGACCCAAGAACTAATGGTTCAATTATGGATCTAAAAGTACAAATCCTATAGACCCAATGGACCCAAGAACTATCGGTTCCATTATGGATCTAAAATTACAAATCCCATAGGGTCTGATTCGGTTCTGGGACTTTGACATTTCTTGTTGGTTTGGACCAATTCTACCCTGTCTTGACCCATTGATAGCCCCATGAATTGAAATCCCATTCCTGTTGGGATCAAACCCCCTCAAACCCTTCTCTTTACCTGATTCCTACTTTCCAATCCTCTCTCTCCCTTTTCTCTCATCATTCCCTCCTTGGATGGCTAAAGTTTGAGAACCAAACTAAACTGAAACTCCAATGAGGTAAGTCACGCCAGTTATCAAAGCAACGGTATCAAACTCGAGCAGAGGTATGGGAAGCACTTATAAGTTTAAGAAGGGTGGAAACACTGGACATGAAAGAAGAGGAAGTTGAAGGAGATTCAAGAACAATTATTGGGTAGATAAGTGGCAAACAAGAGGTAGCTTGGAACTACAGACATGTTATAAGAGAGCTACAAAGTATAATAGAGGAGCTACAAGCAAAAATGAAATGGGTTTTACAGGCTGCAAATGGACTGGCAGACAAATTATCAAAGCAACGGTATCAAGGGATCAATTATATCGGGGCCAAGTTGGTTAAGGTCTGATGTATTTTCTTTGTATGGAGGTTAGCTGATGCTAACCTTCCTATACAGGTCTTTTTTATTTTTTCGTCAATAACTGCAGATTCATTAAATTAGAAAATTATGTGTACAAAGTAAAATACAAAGATTGAGAGATAAACTCTCTTATCTCTGCCCAAATGTTAAATTTATACAATTGCACTCAAAACAAATTTTCTCTTCCCACCCCTTGCTTTGCCAACACATCTACAAAAGAGTTTGCATTTCTCTTAACCCATTATGCTCTTACTTCCATATCCTTGATCAACCAATTGAACTTTTTCTTCTCACTGTTGGAGTTCCACAGCTTCATTTCTCCACTTGTTAACCACCCCACTACTAGCTTTTGCGTGTTAAAGAATAAATAATACCTATTCAGGGACCTCTTCTAATAGCTTAAGCTTTTAGGCTAATAGTTCCTTGATATGGTATCTGAGCCTATTTGACCAAGTGGTCTAGTGTTCGATCATTGTTGCCTCCATTATAATTAAGGGCCTGTTTGGTTCACATTTGGAATCGGAACCAGAAACAGAATGGGAATCCTTCGGAGTTGGAATCGGAGTGGTCTATTCCCATAGTCCGTTTGGTTCAGACAAGAATGGGAATGAGAATTCGAATAAGCAGGAATAGGATTTCATTCCCAAGGGAGGGGTAGGGAATGACCATTCCCTCAAATGGGGGAATGCCATTCCAGTTGGAATGGGAATGGGATTCCAATTCCGCCCAACCAAAAAGTTGGAATCGAATAGCCCTTCCAATTCCGTTTCCAGACCCCTATTCCCCGTGAACCAAACGGGTCCTAATTAAATTTCAGCACAAGGTATGGGTGGGCCTGTGCTTGTTCACGCTTCAAGTCTAGTGGACTTATGTGTTAGGGGGTGTATTAAAGAATAAATAATTCACATTCAGGGACCTCTCCTAACAGCTTAAGATTTTTGGTTGAGCAGTTCCTTGGGATTGAGTTGTTGTACTCACTATTATATATTATTAATAAAATACAATACTGTTAGTCATAAAAAGGGACATCATTCAATCTATTTCCCTCTTTCAAGTCATTGACTGGAAGTAATGTTTTTGAACTCGGTCTGTATTCATCTTTCTAAAATCTCACCCTAATGCCAACTTCCAATGCTATTTACCTAATAATGCTTTGTTAAAACCCAATATTCTTCTTAATTCTTATTGGTCTACACACTTTATCCCACTTAATCAAGCAATTGTTCTCTTTGCTACCTCCATTCATAAGAATTTACACTTTCCAGTTGTTCCACAACAACTGACAAAGGTTAGGACCGTACCTAGTCTACCCCTCCCAAGACCCCAGACAGCTGGGAGCAACATTGGTTAATGGCCTTTTAGAAAGGAGATGTTGAAATGTAAAGTATTGAATAAATAGATTCATGATTCAGTCTCCAATCTCCATTGAATGAAGAATTGTCAAAATGAAAATTGGAGACTTTGCAGCAAAGCATGGATACTTGGTTGCACTCTTGACTGTAGAATAAGGTGGAGTTGCTCTATGTTCTTACATACACTAGTTGAGTGGCACGTGCAAGAGGAGAGAGAGCAGAAAGGAAGAGAAAGAGAGAGAGATGAGTCGGGTGTGGAGGGAGGGAAATTAATGGAGAAAGAGAATGGGAATAGGAAAACAGATGGATTAGATTTTTCCCATGCTGTCTGGAGTCTGGACATGAAGCCAAGGCAAGTATCAGCTTTATATGGTCAAGATGAATGAACAGGGTCAGAAATAGGGCATAGAGGAGGAGGAGGGAGAGATTAATAGGGTCAGATAGATGAAAATAAAGAGGGGGGGATCTAAATGGATTAGATTTTTCCCATGGTGGTGAGGCAAAGCCATGGCTGTTATTTTATTTTATTTATTTATTTTTTGATAAGCAAAGCCATGGTAAGTATTGCCTTATATAGTAAAGATCAGTGAAAAGGGCCTGAAATGGGTGTTCACCCTCTCTCTCTTTTGTACCTTCTCAAGGTTTGTTGCTTCTATAAACTTTGTTCTTGAAAAGGTTCTAATTTTGTCCCTAATAGGCTAATACTTCTATATTCTGCTAATCTTGGTTCCACTTTTTATTTGGTTTCAGTAATTCTGAAATGGAGGAAAGCAACGAAGAAGTAAAGACATTCAAGGGTCTGGGTGTATGTGATGAACTGGTGGAGGCCTGTGAAAAATTGGGTTGGAGAACCCCTTCAAAGATCCAGGCTGAGGCAATTCCTCATGCTCTTGAAGGTTTGTCAAATGATTTTGGTTTTCTGCCCTCGTTATTTATTTGTATACATTTTTATCTTATTTTTTGCATTTTCCATGGGTTATGTAGCTGTTAAATTTTTTCTTCCTTTTTTTAACAAGTTTCCTTTCTGTTCTTTTGATGGGTTTTGGTTAGTATATTAAATTGGTATTAATGCATTGAATGGAAAGAAAGTGCATTGTGTTTGAATTCTTGTGTGAATAGCCAATTTAACTTTGTAGGCTTTTTTATATCATTCAACAATCAACCCATCTAATGTGTTTGTTAATTTTATTCTAATTTGTGAATTCTGTGTTTGATTGGTTCTGTGTATTAGGAAAAGACTTGATTGGGCTTGCACAAACAGGTTCTGGTAAAACTGGAGCTTTTGCTCTCCCCATTGTCCAAGCCTTACTACAGGCTCCACAAGCATTCTTTGCCTGTGTGCTCTCCCCAACAAGGTTTGTTCTGCAGTCAGCTTTGATTCCTCATAGAAATCTTGTCCCTTTGAGTTTGGTGTTTTTGATTAACAAATAGTCTTGTTTTTTTTTTTTTTTTTTGATAATTACAACAAATAGCCTTGTTGTTATCTTAATTTGAATTTTCCTCTTCTTTTTACTCCAGGGAACTTGCAATTCAGATTGCTGAACAGTTTGAAGCTTTGGGATCTGGCATAGGTCTAAAGTGTGCAGTGGTTAGTCTTGTTTTCTTTCTTTTGTGCATGAACTTTGAAGTGATGAGCTTGACTCTTACATTATTCATTGCAGTTCAAACTACAGAGCATATGATTTTGGTTCCTCAACTTTTAGACTCATTTATTTAATTAATTATATTGTTACCTATTATGTTTTAGCTTTAACATGGTAGGAATGTGGCTTTACAAGCCTTTACTTATCAATGACAAGGACTTAAGGATATTGGCTAGGGTGTGGGTGGTTGGGACCATGGTTTGAAGTTTCAATTTTGTTAGGAATTTAAGCATATGCAATAGTTAAATTCTAGTTTCACTTAGATACCCCTCATAATTTCAAGAGTCAAATTGATGAGAATCTTGCAGTAATATCCCAGCAAATAGTTACATATTTAATATGCAATCATATAAAAGAAAACAGAACAAAAAGAACTTGGAATGGTAAACAGTTTATGCAGTGAAGTGGTGGAAGTTGGCGAGACAGACAGAGAAGCTTGGTGAGAGACTGAAGGTTCTAAATGCGAGTCTGCTTGGAAGATTCATTGGCCTGGATTTGGATGAAGAGAAGGTGGAAGCTTGGGTGGGATTTGAATTGGGGAAGGAAAGGGTTGTGGGTGCTAAAAAACTGAATGGAGGCTTGTTTTTGTTTATTCCATGACAGAAATCATGCAGAGTATATGCTGGAGACAGAAGAGAGAAAGAACAGGGACTGCGATTTAAGATGAAGTTGGTGGTTTCCAGCAGCAGGGATGATTCAAAAAGGGAGAAGGAAAGCGATGTGGATTGGGTATTCCACTCCATGTGTGGTGTACCTTGACTTTTAAAGCAATCAGCGATTTGTGCAGTAAGTTCTTGAGCTTTGATGATGGAAACAGGAAGTGGGAAAAAATGACGTGGCAAGAATACTTGTGGAGATAGAACACATTTCAGATCTCCCAGTTTCTGTGGTGCTTTACTACGCAGGTGAAGAATACAAGCTGGGGATTTTTGCGGAAGGTGAAGAATATGCGTTCTTTAGGGCCGGAAAAGGAGGCAATAGGTGAGGTGAAGATTGGGATGTGGAAGAGAAAGGGAAGAGGGGAATAGAGCTCCAGGATCAAAGGCTTAAGATGAAGGGGAAGGTGAAAGGTCAGTCGGAGGTTGAAGACGATGGAGAAGGAAGACAAAAGGGTAGGGAAGTAATTTCGGGAGGGTTGTGCTTTAGTGGGACACATGGAAGCTGGAGGCAAGAAACAATTGAATTCAGGGGTTTCTAAGGTGGGAAGGCCAGACGTGAGTGGCAATGGTTGGTCTTCGGCCTCCTTAGCAAGTGGATTTGGAGGTTCTCGGCTGAAAGGGAGGCCTGGTGGAGATCCCTCATAGCAGATAAGTATGGGGTGGAGTGGGGTAACTGGAGAGCTAGGGATCCTCCCCTAAGTTGGGGTAGTTCCCCTTGGAAAGCTATCATGAAAAATTTTTCTGTGTTCATGGAAGGGATTTCTGTCAAGATTGGTAAAGGGGATAGAACAAAATTCTGGAAGGACCCCTGGTGTTTGGATGGGACTCTAGCTGAGCCTTTTCCTCTACTTTTTCAGTGTGCTTCTAACCAAGAAGCTTCTGTGGCTGAGTACTGCTGTTCGACTGGTGGGTCTCTTACTTGGACTCTTTAGGAGGGATCTATTTGATTGGGAATTAAGAGAGATTGTGGATCTGATGGCTCTTCTTCAGAAGCAGAAGATTGATCTGCAGTTGGAAGACAAATGGTGTTGGAAATGGAATTCGGATGGTGAATTTACTGTCAAATCCCTTGCCTCTAAAATTTGCTATTTGGGTCTCACTGGTTTTCCTGCTTCACAGATCTGGAATCCTATAAGTCCATCAAAAGCCAACTTTCTGATTTGGACGATGGCCCTTGACAAATGTCTTTCCAGAGTTAATCTGGTGAGGCGGGGCATCCAGATTATGGATCTTTCCTGTATTCTTTGTGGGCACCATGCTGATCAACAGATCATTTGTGTATTCATTGTCCATTTTCCTCTCAGATTTGGGGACACTTTCTCAAAGCCTTGGATTTCAGTTGGGTAATGCCTAGATCGGTTAAGGAGCTTCTCTGTTGTTGGAATGTGAAAGGCCTTAGCAAGAAAGAGAGCCTGGTGTGGAGGACTATTCCTGCTGCTGTCTTATGGTCCATTTGGGCTGAAAGGAATAGTAGAATTTTCTGTAATAAAGCTAAAAGTCCTGAAGATATCATTCAGAGAGCTGTGGGCAAGCTGATTTCTTGGGTGTTTGTATCTGAGGAATTCAAAAGTCTGAAATTGTCTTCTTTTCCTTGCTCTAGTTCCTGGTGGAGAATGTAACTGCTGTGGTTTTCAGGCTGCCCTTTTGGGTCTGAACCCAGCTTGTATGTGCTTTTGATTTGAATAAAATTACCTTACCTTTTCCAAAAAAAATGCTAAGTTCAAAGTTAGAGATGCTCGAAGGAAAAATTTAAGAACTTTAAAAAGAAAAAGTTTTAAGTTTTCAAAGTTTGGAAGAAGGGCCTGTTTCAAAGATCGAAGAAGGAAAACTGAGGAGTGGGTTTGGAAAAATGTTAGAGATGACTGCAGAGAAGGAAAATGTGCTTTCGATGCCAGAGATCTCTCGAAGCTACAAATTTGAGCATTGAAGCTTTGTTGGCTGTGAGTTGCCGCACGTGGCTGGTGATTCAAGTCCGACAGTGTGGGTTTTTCTATGGCAGACAAGGAGGAGGGTGACCTGACCAGCAGTTAGGTACGTCTATAAACTTAAGTTTTGGCTCTATTTGGGTTGTGCTTCAAGGAGCGTTTCAGGGAGGGGAGGGAATTGGGATTCAGTAACTCTGTTGGCTGTAGGTTTAGAAGGGAGGAAAAAGGAAAATAGGACAGATTTGGTAGGAAAAGTGTAGGGAGATGTAAGGGGAGAAGGGACTGATAAAGAGGGAGTTGGGGAGATAGGTGAGAGGTTTGAGAAAGTTCGGACGGAAGTAAGTTGTGACCCTAAGGATGTTGGTAAGGAAGGAGAGAATGGTGCAGTAAGAGGCTGTGAGGACTTTTCAAGAGCTGAAGTGGTTGTAGGAGGTTGGGAGTTGATTTGGATCGGAAAAAGGAGTTTCGAAAATTCAGATGTTCTTGGGGAGAGTTGGAGGTGGTACCCTTGAGTTGCAAATAAATTTCATTCCAGTGCCATTCTTTTGCCGGTATCTCGCTTGGGGTAAGTTGGTCAACCGGGTAATTGACCGACTTTCCTATGTTCTCGCGTCGCTATAATGGGTTCCTTGGAAAGCGAATTTTTCAGAGAGTATCGGTTACTTGGGTAACTAATACTCTCTTGGAGGGTGGGTAAGCTTACCCACCTGCCAAAAATGTTAATCCTCTCTCCTCTCTTTGCTCTGGTAAGTGAAAGCGTGTGAGAACATTGACACCAATGTTACCCGGTGTTGGCTTGATGACTTTTAGGAGGTGCAAATTTTTTTCTCAATGATATCAAACTCCTCTAGGGCTGCAAGTCAGGCCAGGTTAGGTCGGGTTGAGGCCAACCCTAGCCCAACCCTAAGTTCTAAACCCCCAACCCTAACCCTAACCCTAACCCAACCTGACCTACCCAACCCTAACCCTAACCCTAACCCTAACTAAATTCCTTCAACCCTAATCCAACCCAACCTTCTTCCCGTCCCTTATAATCTCATAGAGCTTCTTAACCTCAGATCTTAACTCAACTTTCACTACATATATTAATCCTATGTTTTATTAGTATTTGTTTGTTGATATTTTTATTGGTTCTTCAAGTACAAAATTCAGAAAAAAAGTGTTTGAAAAGACCATAGTTTATTATGAGTTATGACTTCATCTTTTATGGGTAGCAAGCTATGGGTGGCAAACAACAGAGAGGAGATAAAGAATAAAATATTCAAAAAACATAAAATATGTTATTAAGGTTTTAGTATTTCCAATTAGGATTAACCGAAGTGATTATCTTAAAGGAAATAAATGATAGTATGTGGTAGGGGTTATACAACTATCATGCATCTAAACAAATCAATGTATGATATATCATATATATAATATTTATATATGACATGTACTAGAGTTGGGTTCAGGTTGTGTTGGGTTGCCCGAGGGGTCAACCCTAACCCAACCTGAAGTAAAGTCGGGTTCATAAATTTCAACCCTAACCCTAACCTGAGCATCGACCCGATCCAACCCAACCCAGCCCCAAGTTGCAGCCTTACACTCCTCTGTGTTGGCTCGATGACTTTGAGGTGGAGTTTGGTAGAGGATGGTAGACAAAGGGCACTGATTTGACTTAGGGGGAGTTGAAGAGTCAAGGGAGTGATTCTGTGGAGGTTGAAGATTGGGGATTTTTTGGGAATGAAGAGAAATTGTGGTGATAAGCTGGTTGGGTTTTCTAATGCTTGTTTAAGGAGGGGGGCTAAAAGAAAGGAATGGTCTGTCAAGAGTTGATTATGGGGGTAAGTCTCTACAGTACAAAACCAATGTAGGGGGGGAGTCAAGAGGTTGGGAGGGGGAGGCTTGAAAAAGGAAAGCAAGGGGTGATTGTGGAATTGAGGAGGAATGGTGTTTGTGTGGGGCCCATTTTCCCAAGAAGTCAAGGTTGAAAGATGGGTGGGGTGAGTTAAAGGTTTTTAAGAGGGATTATTTTGGGAATTTCAACTTGGGTCTCAAAAGGTTGGGCATTTCAATTTTTTTTTTTGGGTGGGGGAGGTTTTGTCAAAAGGCAAAGTCTGTTAAGGGGGAGTGGGTTTGGGTTGTTACGGGGTTTGAGGGTGGAGAAATTCCAAACTTGAGTTTGAAGCATGTTGAGTTGGTGGAAGGTGGTTGTCTTGAGCAGTTGTCAGAGAATTGTGCTTCAGGAGCTTTTGCAGGTGAAGATGTTGGAGAAGGCTCAAATGAAGTCTCATGTGAGGTCATCTGGCATGGTCTGGGTGGTGCTGTTTAGACTAGAGATTGATCTTCGGTTGATTCTTTGGGCCATTCTTAGGTTCTTGA